CCCTATAAAACATAACCTATTTTAGCTCTTATTGGGACATGAGAAAATGCTCTTTGGTCAGGACATCTGCATGAATCCCAATATTAACCATGCATGCAGAGCCCATTGCTAAATGGTAGGTTAGAAAACCACCACCCACCAGGAACCTGTTATTGCATACATTCTACCACTTCAGCAATCTAAAGTGAGTCACTATATGATCCTCTTCCATTAAGAAGCATTCACAGAGTTGAAACCTGATAAATTTCCCTGCCGAATCTTTGCTTTCAGGTTATACAACTGCCTTGGTGTGGACTGCAGCTCTGGATTGCTTTGCTTGAGAACTTTAAGCACTTGACGTGGTCTTACACCAGCTTCAGTCATTAATTTGATTTGCCTGACCTCTTCCTCTGTAAAACGACGACTGCAAGGATGGTCTGACATGTCCCTCAGAGGTTCATGGTTATGGTCCCCATTTCTTATTGTAAGCACCCAAATATCATCTTCCCTCTTACCTATGACTTCAAAAGGACAATTTATAAGCCTAGAGCATGCTTTCCTTTTGCGCTTACTTTCGTCAATCTTACGCCTATTACGATAAACACCACCTCTATCACAACCAAGGATGACTCTTCTGTCCTTCCTGGATTTCTTAATAGTCACCACATATCCTTGAGAAGACCCGAACTCACGGACATGTTTAATGAGTTCTTCACGATCTTGAAACTTTCCTGGTGGTGGAGGAAGCATCCTTTTTTGTGTTTTAGTCTCAACCTGACTTTGAGTTTCCATATGGCAGCATTAGATAAAACCTGCAAATAAAGACAAATAAGAATATATATACATAAATACGTGTCTGCCATCAATTATATGACTGAAGTCATTTTGAGTATCAAGACTATATCATCACATAACAATGCTTTTTTATAGAAAAAGAATAAACATTACCATTATACATAAGAATGTTACAGAACCTCGATGTGCAAGAATCCAAGATAAAAAGAAAGAGTCCCCTCAAATTAATGAGAGGTTATCTATTACCAGAGGAAGAAAAACCCTTAAGGAAGCAAAACCAGGAACAACGAAAGGATTCGATAGAAAACTAAAATTAGCTTCTTTTTTCTTTCTTTGAGTGTATGATAATTCAGGGATGAATTTTAAACAATGTAAGGATAAACAGGAATTTAATATTCCAATCTTTAAAACACAAGCAACACTCTAAAGAAAGGTAAGATGTTAAGTCCTTGTCGTTAGTATCTCATTATGGGAATTGGAAAATCTAAAGAAGAAATGAAGTTTCTTGTTGGAATTCCTTCCCTCCTGACATACGATTAGTGATTGCATAGGGGCTCGCGACAGAGAGCCTCTCAATCTGAAAACAAAAATAAAAGAAAGGTTCTCTCAAATTCTGCATAACCTTATTTGGAACCATGTTCTAGTCTTTATACCAGAACCACAAATTCTCCCACCGACCAGTAACTTCCTTGGACGAAGTACCTGCTCTCGTATCCACAGGAACTACCCATTACAACTTACCCAACTGCCACATTTAGGAACTTATTACATAATTTATTAAATGCCAAACAAAGACATAATTATATAAAACCAAACTACAGAATATAAAGAAATCAAAATTAAATCCGCACTGCTCTTTGCTGGCCATGTTTGCCACACTAATTTACCTGCCTAAATCAATTCTTCAACTGACTCACAATATAAGATATCCTCCAGAAAGAGATAAGGAAAAAAATTATAAAAAAATGTAAATGGATATCAATATAAGCTTGCAACTCTAGTCCTCCACATTGTAGAAACACAAAACCCCCAGAAGGAACTGAGTACGTTAGTCCAGAGAGAAGCTGAACGAGCTACTATATCCCAAACATCATTAATAAAATAAGGATGCTTGAAACTCTTGCATTTATTTCCAGTCAAATAACCAACAAATGGCAAACAAAATACTCCCTTTCCAAAACACTGAATGGCCATTGCTCCTCCCAAGACCACGAAAAGCTTATTCACGATATATTACAGTTATGACACACGTGGGTTACTCTATGAAGCAGGAATATGCCAAGAATGTAATAGTTATTATGTAACAGAAACATAATAGCTTGGTTGACTGAATCAAAATTATTTTATAAATATGATAACCGGAGAAGCTACGATCCTAATTCATGACTATGGAATCAAGAATCAGGATACAACACCGCCTGTAATTATTAATTTTACTTTTAAGACTATTTTACCCTCACTTGTACACGTGTGTATAATCTGGTCTGGACTGAGAAATCAAACCAGACTGAATCAAATAGATCAGACCCGATCAACCAGACCAAACTATGTCGAATCCAGTTTTAGCTTCACATGTCGAAGGACTGAAATTTTGCTTCAATAAGGCCGGTTTCACCCAAAAAATAAAAATAAAAATCCTAATTATGGATTGATATTAAATAAATTATTGTTTCTTTTATTAGTTTTAATGATTATGGTTTCTGAATTCATTATTAGTTTTAGTTAATTGATTTCCTTAATTTTTTTAATTAAAAAATATTATTTTGGTAAAAAAAAAAAAAAGGAAACTGATCTGGACCGAATAAATTTTGGTCCAATCTTTAGTCCAAAGTTGGGGGACCAAAAATTTCAAAATGTTCCAGCTCTAAACCGATGAACACCTATGCTTACTACTAAGGTAAAAATTTAATTAGCTAAGGAATTTTTATTATTTTAAATTTGAACATATGAAAAAAAAATTTAGTTACGTTAGGGTTTGATATCTGAAAATTCTTTAATTAATTGAAGATTTTTTTAACTCTTTAAAAGTCAGCATACACATAAAGCAACAATAATTTTTATAATTAAAGGGTTTTCAGAATTACATGTAAAATTTATAATTTATGAAATTTTTTTTTTTGGAAGTAAAGTAATATAACATAAAAGGTAAAATATAATTATAATTTTATTAATTAAAATAATTGCATGAAATCTTATCAATTTATCATTTAATAATATGTATGTTTAATTAATATAAACATGCAATATACTTATTATAAAAACCAACCAAATAAATAAGGTTATTACATGGTTTAGTATTATTTTCTTTCATTATTTAACATTGACCAAGCAAACATTGTAATGAGTTACTAATTGCAAAACAAACATTACAATACAATCGCAATCCCAAAATTAAAACTATGATGATTCAAACAACTTTATAATGATAAATACTGGTTCTCAGATACCACAATTATATAGTGTATTAGTCCCAATCCAAAAACTCTGAATCAAAGGTCAACAGAAAACTTGCATAAGGACAAGAACTAGTTATTTAATTTTTTTTCCTTTCATCCACCATAATTCTTTGTAGTTACTAATCCTAAGTTCCCTTCACACGTCCTTTTTCCTTTGGAGAAAAATTTGCCCATCCATTTTGCCTAAAGGACTAACCAACTTTAACCCCAATGAATCAAAAAAAGATCGACAATATCTCTGACCAACTACACTCAATTCTATTCATGCAAAAGCTTGCGAAGATGCTATATCCCAAAATGAAAATGGTGACAAATAGGTTATTTAACTCATATGATATAACCATTCTATATAAATGAATAACTCATTATAATGCATTAAATGTGTGTTCACACGAGCAAAACAGATTAGAGAATGAAAGATGGAGTTAGGACATTGATTCACTTGCAAAAGGGAATGTAATTAATTCAATAACTGTTTGATGTGAGCATAGTTGGCAAGTTAATGCCTATGTTTCATGGACACATGTCACTAAGACATATGGATCAAATTCATAAATGCAAAATATAATGGGTCAAATCAGAATTCACGCAAAACCTGTCAGAAGTTTGCATGGATAACTGTATTTAACCATAAGTACTACTTGAAAGTGCTCAACCCTAAATTTCCATGCCATATATTTCTTGTCTCCATTCAAATGCACGTTCAGCTATCCTTGATAACTACAGATGAAAATGCACCTTCAATTTCCCATCAAATTATCTAATCTCACAACCTAGGATTATATATTTGTGTGGAAGTATGTATTCTACGCACAATATGCACCTTATTCATATAAACAGATCCCCAATTATCTAACAATCTAATCTCACTAGTACAGCTCTTAAAAAGAATGAAAACCAAACCATCCAATATATTCCCATACTATTCACATAACTATACAACACATCTAGACATTTGACATATGAGAAATTTAGCTCAACCAAGCCCAAATATTGCTCAAGACCTTATATATGTGCACTCATTTAGCTATTCAAAAACAACAAACATGGAATGATATTAGGCAATCTGTTTATTACTTAACATGAGATATTAAATTTTGATTAGTCAAACAACCAACACATTAAGATCATGTTCCAATATTAGGGACTTAATTACACCACAACATAAGACTATCTTTTGTCATTAAAATACACAACAATCACGTACTTCAACCGTGAGTCAGATCTTCTCAATAATCACTTAAGGCCAGCTTAAGTACAAGATCATTGTCGAATCTCACATCTAACCTAGAAATATCATAACGCTAATAGCAAATATAAGCCAATAAAAACTGAGTCGTTAGATATGCAAACCTTAATATTTCTCCCTTTTTCTAATAGAATAAAGCCCAGCAGACTTACACGTTCAAACTAACGCAGTTAATTCATTATGAACATAATGTAATTTATTATTTATTTTAGCATTTACAACCCAAATCAACACGAAGATCAACAACTTTTTTCAATTGCAAATGAAAACTAACCTATTATAGGTACTGCAATTGCATATCCTCCAACAGAACACGAACTCATTCAAAAGTGCAATGCATATACATATCAATAACAATGAGTTTCAAAAAGCATCCTCTCACAATTTAAACAGTCAATGGACACATGTTATGCATATATATATATATAGTCAACAGAAGACATCAAACAGTCCTCTATGCGAACCAGATTATAAAAATCCAAGTGCTGAAACAAAACAATAACTCAATGTTTGAAAATGACTGAAACTAAACTGGACTCAATAGGAAAAAAAAAATCAATCGGAATATCGAAAAGAAAGAACAGAAGAACTTAAAATCATCAAATCCTCAATCAGCCTAAAAAGAAAGAGATGGAGATGACCTAAACCGACCGCAAACGAACCAGACGGTGGCTGGCCCGAAATGACTTGGTCGAGCGTTGGTCTCGCGAGGCTCCAGTGCCGGGGCGTATGGCCGCGGCGAAACGGGTTGGAGACAAATAAATGCGGCGGGTAGAAAGCCTCCGGACTGGCGGAAGCAACCGTGGCCGGAAACGGGCAGATAACCCGGCCTTGAAGTGCTGCACGTAGTGAACTTTGAACTGAAGAAGAGTGCCGAAAATCAGCCGGCGAAACACGAGATTGTCGTGGCGCCCCCCCACCTCACGCCGGCTTTATGTTAGTTCCTGGAAGCTTGTTTGGTTACAGACTTAACTCCAGCACTATCCGGAATTGCTTTCTGTAGCTTCTGACAGAGACAAAAAGTTTATTGTTAAATTAACATTTTGCATGCATGTAGTAATTAACCTTTTTTATTTTCTTTAATTTCGCGTCCAATTTTAGTTAATCAATTATATAATACAAATATTCAAATCTAAAGTAAAACAGTAATTTTTAAAATATATAAATAATTTGTAATTGGGATTTTAATAACATATTTATCTTCACGTAAATTCTAATATTGTGACAATAAATACTTTAAAATTTTTTAAATTGTTAAATACTATTAATTTTTAGTACAATTTAGTATAAGATTGAAAATTATTTTAAATAAGATATAACTACAAGAAACTTGGGTTTCTAATTACTACACTCACGAACAGGGTGCTTACAACCCAAAGTCCAAACTGATTTTTAACTAAATATTAATTATTATTTAAATATTTTATAAAAAATTTTAGAATTTACCAAAAAAAATTGAAGAATTAGAATAGGTGACATGTAAGTAAGGTAGGGGGTAAAAACTTGTTTATGTATTTTAGGCAATAATTTTATTAATTGTGTAATTATAAGTTATAATGGGAATTAAATTAAGTTATTAGATGTCTAAGCATAAAGGAGATGTTTCTTAATTATTATATGTGTTACAACTCTAATAATTGTCTATTTATAAGTTATCTTAAAATTAAGTTTAAAATAGTAAGATATTTTAATTTACTCAAAATTGGTAATTCTTTGTTTAAAAAATAAGTAATAATATATTTGGATAAATTTCTAATTGTAAAAAATAAATAGTTATTTTTGGTAAAAGAATTAAATAAATAATATGTATTTAATATCTAATCTACATTGTTGTATGGTAAGTTTAAGTAATTAATTTCAAATAAAAAATAATCTAAAAATTTAATTTATTTATACCCTTTTTAAAATTATTTCTAAAAACTTGATGTGTATTTTCCTTTTATAGTCCTACCTCTCTCTTCTCTCTCACGTTGGCACACTTAATTGAATAAGTTTTCTCTATTATTTTTTATTATTATAATTCTTTTTTTTTTTTGTAACATAATCACCCGAAATCATTTCAAATATTACTTTTATTTTTCTATCTATTTCTAAGTCAAATCTCGTTCGTAATTGTTAGAATCAATTCATTCAGAGCCTAAATTTCATTTTCGTATAGGTAAAAAAAAAAATTTACTTCAAATAAATAGTTAGGAACATCAAGAGCTTGCCAAATTTGAATTCTATTAATGACATAAGTAGGATTTGTTTGGCAAAATAATCTACATGACGTTGGTGATGAAGATAAGTCCATTTACTAAAATATAATTCCCCACTGTATTTCAATCTCAAAATTTTTAAATTTTCACTAATATTACGCTTGAGCAATGGGATAAATTTAATTTCTATTAAAAAGTTTTTATTATTATAATTGAAATAATTTAAATCAATAGACTACATTGAGTATTATAACAAAGCAAAAAAAAATATTTACGATTAAGGCAAGTTAAGGAATAGGTGAAAAGATTGTAAATATTTTTTGAATAAAAATTTAAATATTTTAATAATTAGGTGACAATAGCACACTAATAATAATACAATCGGACAAACAATATAATTTGTAAATGCTCGGAACTTAAATGAAAATTAATTCATAAATTAAATGCAAAAATAACTAATTGAGTTAGAGTTTACATTACTTACACATTAATTTTGAATGTCCAATAAGGTTACGGGAATGTTCATTTTAAAAGGCAAACAGTAATTAAATAAATAAAACGAAAATCGAATAATTAAGCATTCTAAAACAACTTTCACTAACACTTGAAGGGAGTTCGGATAATGAACTACTAACAATTATCTTGCTAATTGGGATATGTATCTTAGTTCTCTTATTCTGAAATAGTTAATGAAATAGTAAGTTATACTAGCTCAATAAGAATATCACACTAATTACAGATACGAAAAATTGAATATTAGTAAAAAAATCAAAAAAATTACTAATTGAACCCTTATTTATTTAAATACATTTAAACTTGAAAACGTTTGTTTAATACTTATCATAACGAAATTTTCAAATACAACCTATGAAGATCTATATTCATAACACTTTTAAATTTTACGTATAAGAGAACAAGAAACAATATATTTCCTTTTTTACTTGCTTACTAATAATATCCATGAGGGTCCTTAGGGGTGTCCCCCCCCCCCCCCCCTTTATCCATAAACCCGATATCCAATTTAAATAATTAATTGGTCGTCCTCATACCTCATCCGGTAATTGGCGCTAAACATTCTATTGTCTCGATACCTCGTCGAGTATGAGAGCGAACTATATCTCCCAAACTTTTATGATAAGGGACTTCCCAGCCCTATCTAACTAAGGTAATATTCACGATAGAATTCCATATATACCGGACCCATCCGCCCTTTTATAAATTATTATTTAATATAAAATTAGGAAAAAAATAGGTAAGTGATGAAATTGAAAATAATTTTGGGAGAAATAAATCAAAATTTGGGTTCTTGAGTGTTTTTCAAAGAAAAATAAAAAATTTTGGGTCAAAACGTAATTTAAAAAAAATGTGCCACATAAGATGTCCAGTAAGCAGCTCCGACGAATCGGAGCACGTCGTGTGGCAAGGCACGCTGACGTGGTGCCACTTAGGAGGCCACGCTGACGATCCGCGTGTCCGCAATTGAAACGGTCTAGATTTATTCCCGTGCGCATAGACACTCAAGATCCGTTGCCTCATCAGACGCGATCGGACGATCGCGATTAAACGCGATGAACGATCAAGATCTATTTCCTATTTAAACACGATCGAATAACCCAGATCAAATGGCGATGAACAGTCCAAATTTATTTCCTATTTAAACGTGATCGGACAGTTCAAATCAAACGCGATGGACGATCCATATTAAAAGGAGACTAATATAAATATTCATCTTCACACCAAACCCTAACCCTAGCCGACAGACCACCCCACCCTCCCCCGCGTTGGAGAAGAAGAGTCAGTCACTGGGAAGGGAGCCGACCGCCATCCGCTGCCGCGCTGGAGCCACTTCAGACTGCCGAAAGAGGTAAAATTTTCTCCATTCGCTCGAAATTCAATTTTGAAAACCCTATGGCCAAATCGGAGTAAAAGGACAAACAGATGAGGTGAAAACTGCAGGTAAAGTCTGGCGACGCCACCGCGAGAAAAAAGGAGAAACTACATCCGAAGAGGCCCTTCCCAATTCCCGTTTCATGTAATTTTTTACTATTGTAATTACCATTCTTTTTTCTACAGGTTGATTGAAGCAAAACACCAAATTGCGAAGGTGAGCTGGCAGAGCTGCTACATCAAAAAATTCTACCGCTGGTAAGCTTTGGTTTTTTGACTTTTTTCAGCCAAACGATGCCTCTTAACATGTTTTCTCGCAAGACTATGTACAAAATTGGTCGAAATTGGTTGAAATCGACTAAAAATGGCCAACCCAAGGTAAATTGCTGCCGCAGACGGTAGTGCCGTCGCCAAAGCACGGTGGAGCTGCTATAATGGCCGCGGAAATTAAAAGGAAATTTATATATACTTATACTAAGTGCGGAAGCGAAATAAAATAGATTATGATTAACATCCCTTACACAATAACCAAAATGAATTAAAGTATGAAAGAATAAACTAACTTAAAGGAAATACTATGAAAGAATACTGTAAGGAAAAACTAAATAATTCTTTTGCTTCTACTCGTCGTCTTCCTGCAGAACGGGCTCGGGAACCAAATTCTCCTGATCTGAAATTGTTAAGTAAGGAATGAGCTGCACTAGCCCAGTAAAGATATCACACTATCTCACTGTCACAGAAGTAAAGGTTGGTAGAAAATGAAAATGACTAATGGAGCATAATTTATAACAAACATATTTATCAATAATAAAATTCTTTACTGTCCACCCACCTCGGTGAGATTCATAAAAATAATTACATCATAAATATCATAAGATCACGCACACTCTGCAACATAACACATATCATTCAATCATCAAGCAACAATTACCCCTTTTTTATCAACCTACTAGTATCCATGGGGATCCATAGGGGGTCCCCGCTACACGTGAACCATTCACATTAATAACTTAATTCCATGGTCGTTCCCATACTCCATCAGGTATGGGTGCCAAAATAATAAAATTCAATATCTCATCCTGTATGAGGGTGAAACGGGTTGTCCCCATACCCCATCTGGTATAGGCGCCAAAACACATAAAGTCTCCATACCCCGTCCGATATGAGAGACCATGTTCCCGGTAGGGTTCTCTATGAAGCCGGTCCGTCCACCATCTCCCATGATATCTAGTGAGGCTGTAGATATTATCCATTATCAATTCACATACTTTTTTACTATTTTACTTATTCTCAATTATTCAATCAAACACAAACACGTAAACTAGTAATGGACACCAAACAAAGCAACACAACATCGGGTTCACAATAATTCAAAGCATAATAAATGAAACTGTGATTCATGCATATGAAATCATAGAATAAATACATTAGGCACCATACTGCATTCAAAACTGCAAAATACATCAAACAGTAACAGACCGACAAATACATCAGATTCGGGCTTCATTAGCAACCTTAATCAATTATGCATATCTATTAATTCATACAATACCGTTTTATCATTTATTAGACTTTAATGCCGTGATAGAAAATAGGGTGAGAGATCCTTACTTATTTCGGAGTCTGAAATCGGATTCTCACTGCGCCTACGGGCTGTCCCTAAATTTCCTGAATTTTTTTTTTTTCTGGAAACTGAAACACACTTCCGATACCTGCACATGTCCCCAAAAAATCCCAAATCAGACCCAGGGCCCTTCCGGCCAATTTCAGAGCCGCCGTGCTCCAGCAACGACGCCCTCACCCACGGCGGCGATTCGCCTCAGGTTGGCCGTTTTCGGCCGAATTTGGCCAAACTTGCATTGGTTCCTGTGATAAAACACC